GCTGCCCACTTTCTTCTAAAGTCAACATTTTACCGGCCATTTTTATACCCTGAACCCATTGAAAATGGGAAATCAGGGTATAATGGTTTTGTTAAAAGTATGTAATAGGCAGAAGGAGGCGTGGCAGACCCCATAAAGTATAAATATTCCTGATCAGGGCGACGAGTTGAGTGGATTTAGCTCTGTCCGTCTGTCCGTATGCTTGAACGCATCGATCTCAGAAGATATAAGAACTAGAGAGTTGAAATATTTTTCTAGGTCCGTGTATAGCACGGGCATATTGAGTTTTGCTTCAAATATCGATAACTTTCCCTGTTATTTTTTATCGATTAAAAACATCGAAAACCAGTAATAAATTTATATCTCCTACATCTTTAAAGCTAGAGTCACAAAATTTTTAAAGTAGATTCATATGTTGTTTATAGAAATTCGATTTTCGTCAAAATTTACCCCCCGCCTCTAATTCACCCCCTCACCGTTCGATTTGTAAAAAGAGTGTTTCAAATACTAAAGACTTGTGCTTTGGCAAATACATGCATATCTATGTTATATTCATAATCTGAAAGTTTCATGAAGATAGTCCACCACAAGAAAAGTTATTAAACAATTAACTTCCTATAGTAAGCCACCACTGCAGCCAATGCGTGTTTATGCGTTCGTACGTATGTCTGTGTGTGTGCGTGTATGTGTCCATATGCGAATAATTATTGGAATATCAGTTGCTCGAAGGGTTCAGGGTATCTCCTAGTCAAGCAATCTCGACTAGGGCCTTCTTACTTGTTATAATTATGTTAACATTTTCATTCTTGGACCTTAAATAATTTTTTATTTTTAAAAGCGAATTGAGAGTATCCACGCTCATCCGGTTTCTTATTTTAGATTTTATAATATTCATTTGGCTGAACACCCTCTCAACTTTGACATTCGACCAAGGCAGTGAAATAATCTGCATTTAAATCATTGCCAACTCTTTGAATCATTTGCAAACTCTTCGAATCATTTGTTCCCCGCACAATTTCGACAGTTACCTCTCCCCAAAATTTGTTGGACCTTTCAATGTTTTCCCCATGTTATTAGAGAAACTTCATTATACTGCCTTTCTATCATAGAAATATTTTCTTGACAAAAATATTCAGGAATAGGAGAAATATTTTGTTTTTTAGCTTTCAAAATGTTTTCAACTGGGAACAAATCAATGTAAAATCTGCAAATTGTCAGGTAATCCATTTTTGGAAACAAATATTATTATTTATAATCATAGTGTAAACAACGTTTTTAAATGAAAGGCATGTACTCTTTGGTTTGAGTTCTAAACAGCGAATGCTCTCCGTATTTTATTCAATAAATGTCTTAGCCTAAAATACATAAAGTCTACATAAATAATTCTGTCGCTAAAAGCAGCGGCATAATGTATATAGCATGCCGTATGTGTGTGTATATGTGTTTGTATGTACATGCAGAAGGCATATACGTTTTAGCGTTTAAGCTACGGCGTGGACGAGAACGTAATAATGTTTACGTTGCAGATCCCACGCTGCAGGCCGGTTTATACACAAGTGACCGATCATATTACGGCACTTATGTATAGCTGTTATAATATAAAAGAAACAACAAAGTGTTGCTATGTTGTGAGCATGATACTCTTACTTATGTTGGGCATATGTCTACATTGATATATTGTATACACTACAATACTGTGAGCAACCGATTGAAATGATTGCTCGTCGAGTTCGTTCTCGTTCGGAGAACAACCGTTTACATTTTTTCTATTTTGCTCAGGTTGTTCCCCGCCTGTTTGATTGAGTGAAATAGAAATAGAAGTCTTTTGTGTATGTATGTATGTATTCGAGTAAACGTACTATTTGCAATCGTGTGGCTTGGCAAATACATGCATATTTATGTTATATTCATAATCTGAAAGTTTCATGAAGATAGTCCATCCACAATAAAAGTTATTAGCTCCTTAAATTCCCATAGTAAGCCACCACCGCAGCCAATGCGTGTTTATGCGTGCCTGTCTGTGAGTGTGTGTGTGTATTTCTTGTGTAAGCAGAAAGACGCAAAGAATTATTGAAATATCAATTGCTTGAAGGGTTCAGGGGATCTCGTAGTCGAGCAGTCTCGACTAGAGCTTTCTTACTTGTTTTATATATATAATGTATTTATATATATAATGTGAATAATACTACATACAAATAACACAGAAAAAATATTTGCAAATAAACTTAAATTGTTGCTTGAAAAATTGTATTTCTTTTAATCTACAAGGAAAATAATGTGAAGACCGTTTGGATTCAGTTTTTCAGTCAGTTTTCAGTCTCATTGTGCGAACGACAATCGTATCGCTCCCTAAACGATGCTCATTGAATGAACGTCACACAAATAGCTCAACTCAATGTACTCGAGAGAAAACAAATCGAGAAGAAACGAACTCTCCTGTTGAGAGCGGGAGTGACCTTTGCTTCGCTAGCCGACCTTTTTGAGCCCGCAAGCAGTTCCTAATAGTTAGCTCTTTTTGTTCCACCCTTCGGTTTTAATAGCGTCTTTTAATTAAACATTATTAATTTTTTGTTATTAAAGATAAAAATAAGATGATTTATACATAACAGATACATAGAGCATATTTATATTTATAGCTCACTGCGAAATACTTTCCTTCAAAATTACGCCCGCACGGCTCAACAAAAACAGAAAAGTGACGTGTCACATACATATGTGTACAAATATGCACTTGTATTTTCACACATTAACACTATACGTACAAAAGAAATAGGCATAGACAAAGAAACCAAACGAAGACGAAAATCGTTTGTTGATTAGAGGGGAAGGGGCATACAAAAACGAAGTTGACAACAGCTCGATTCTTTCGTAAGAGTAGTCGTTTTAATTTTGGTCATTACAAATACGCTGAAAAAAATATCAGGTAACGCATTACTTTACGTTTTGTATGTAATGCATTATTTCGACCGACATTTTTCAGCTCGTCGCCACTGGGATTTAGAACAAATTTTTTACAGCAGAAAATGTTAAGTTGGTGGACCCCAAACTTCGTATTTGCTCGGCTCGGTCGCTGGAGGCTCTTAAATCTTAAATCTCTTTTTTTTTAACATCCAATTGCGGGAAAAAATGCAAAACACTAGGCAGCGGGAATTCTGGATTTAAAAAAAAAATTGTTATTTTCCGCTTTTTTCTTTACTGACCAATTTATCATATTTTGTAGTGATTAATCGTATGTAGTGAAGTGTTTGTCATTATAGTTGAATTAAAACTAAATAGTTCGGTAGTTTAATTTTCAATGAACGAACCAATCGATAATAGAGTGGAACTAACTAAACAAGAATATGATTTATATTTTATTCAATATAACTTATAATATCGAAGTTTTGGATTCCATATAAATAAAACGGTAAAATTTTCTAACAGAGCTTATAAAGCGATTAAAAAGAATGTATGCAACTCAAGATAGCATAAAGTAAAAAATTTATGTGTTAACTAAATATGTTTTAATTAATAGGTTGCCGGTAAATTTTCTAATAGTTTAGAGTGAGAGGTGTGCTTATAAGTATTCGGGAGGAAATAAAAAATGTAGGGACTTAGCCACTTTTGCAATGTCATTGCTTTCCATGCCATGGTCGAACGCGCAAGTGGAAACAAGTAAGAAAGCTATAGTCGAGGCTGTTCGACTACGAGATCCCCTGAACCCTTGGAGCAATAGCTATTTCAATAATTTTTCGTGTCTTTCAGCTTACACAAGAAATACGTACACACACACACACACACACTCATACACACACACACACACACACACACACACACACACACACATACACAAACCCAGACACACACCCAAGCACCCACGCATAAACACGCATGGGCTGCAGTGTTGGCTTACTATGAGAAATTAATTGTTTAATAACTTTTTTGTGGACATACGATCTTCATGCAACTTTCAGATTATGATTACAACATGGATATGCATGTATTTGCCAAAGCACAAGTCTCTAGTATTTGAAATACGCTTTTTACAAAAGTGAGGGTGAGGGGGTGAATTTAAGGGTGGGGGTAAATTTTAACAAAAACCGAAATTGCATAAATTGCATATTAGCATACATAAAAAATTTGGAGACTTTAGCAATAAAGGTGTAGGAGAAATAATTTTATAACTGGTTTTCGATAAGGTTTTTTATCGATAAAAAAAGATCGGGATGAGTTATCGATTTTTAATGATAAACTTGATATGCGCGCTGTAATTACGGACATTTAAAAAAAATTTGATGTCTCTAGCTCTTATATCTTCTGAAATCGACGCGTTCATACATACGGACAGACGGACAGGGCCAAATCAACTCAGATCGTCGCCCTGATCAAGAATATATATACTTTATGGGGTCTGCCACGCCTCCTTCTGCCTGTTACATACATTTCAAAAAAACCATTATACCCTGATTTCCCATTGAAAATGGGCAATAAAATGAATTTTGATATGCTTACTCAATTTTAAGCGTCAGGTAAAACATACATAGTGTAAAACTTTATAGATACGGCTTGCCGCGGTTAAAGAAATGCTGCCATGACTTCCAATTACCAAAAATATATATAAATATCAATCAAATCAATTCAAAAAGCATCAGTTTTTTTTGTCCGATTTTTTTCAAAAGATTTCAGCTTTTTTAAAAGTATCTTCCACCAAAAACAGCTTTTTTTGCTCAAATCACCGAACACAGCAGCGCACAAAAATTTAAATTTGTTCGCGACGATCCCAGCTCTTTCCTTTTGAGTCAAGGGTATACCTAAATCATAAAAGCGTTTATCAGGCTCATGCAAACAAATTGTAAGCGTTTCGATGGTTATTCGTGGGAAGGGTGTAAAGCGTTGATGCGCATAAACAATATGATTTCACGACGGGACTGGAAACATTGTGGTTAGTGGTAAAACATATGTATGTATGTATGTACTAGAGTGCTGCATGAATAACAGAGAAACGGTGTTCAAATTAACAGCTCGCAATATGTATTTTGAGTGACAGCTAAAACGAAAACGGTCATGTATGACTCAAGTCAGAATATTCAACCGAGCAAAAAAGAATTGGAGTGGGAGTGTGAGTGCGAGTACATGAGTGATACATGATAAGTTTGCATACAGCCACAAAAATGATCATACATGTAGCATGGCACTATAAGCGTGTGCATGCTTGTCGCGAACCGATTTCAATTTTTCTGCTCTATTGCTTGTGAGCACATAGGGGAGAGATCATAGGGAGACAGAAAAAGTAAGTAAAGTGGTTAAATTTAAACAAAAACCGAAATTGTATAAAGTGCATATAAGTAAACATTCAAAATTTGGAGACTCTAGCTTTAGGAGATATAATTTTATTAGTGATTTACGATAAGGGTTTTTATCGATAAAAATAACGGAAAGTTATCGATTTTTAATGATAAACTCGATATCCGCGTGGTATACACGAACATTTCAAAAAAAAATGGAGGTCTCTAGCTCTTGTATCTTCTGAAATCGACGCGTTCAAACATAGTGACAAACGGACGGGTGGACAGACAGACAGACGGACAGGGCTAAATCAACTCAGCTCGTCGCCCTGATCAAGAATATATATACTTTATGGGGTCTGCCACGCCTCCTTCTGCCTGTTACATTTCAACAAAACCATTATACCCTGATTTCCTGTTGGAAATGGGTTCAGGATATAAAAATGCATGCAAAAACTCGATTGATTCGACGCCTTTACGCTTCGGCTTCTTTTTTATTCCGTTTTAAGGATTAATTTATCTCGCTCTTTTTATTGGAGGCCGTAGGATATGACGCGTTGAGCTCACTCCAATATAAACTCACTCAAGACGTTTGTCGCCTATCACGCACTCATTGAATTTTTCATTAATTATCGTTATTTTGACTTTTGTTATTTAAGCAATGCGAACAATAAAAGACATTGTTTAAATCTATATAATGAATACACACATATGTATGTATGTATATTAGCGCTAGGACTTTTGAGGCAATTTATAGTTACCACAGTGGTATTTTGGTGAGTATTCAGGACAAGGAATTTAATATATTTAACTTTATTCTACATATCAATATTATAAACTGTATAAGTTAGAGCCTTTTATTTCATTTATGTTTTGAAACATATCGAAACTGAAATTTACAACCGTTCTAAATGTGATTGTTTATTAGATTGGTACAAGCACTGACCAGAGAACACATAGACTAGACATGTAGAACAAACTTTTTCAACACCGAAAAAATGCGCTGAGCGGACCAGACAACTTCGTATTTGGTCGGCTCGGTCTTCTGAGGCTCAAGCAGTGAAAATAAGGCAAGACAAAATCAGTGTGCTGCGACTGCTGCCACGAAATGCACGAATTACTAAATGAAGCACGGCAAATTTTGGGCTTTACAATTTGCACAGCCTGTTCTGCACAGAAAGAATACATTTTCGCGACGAGCATGCACACACACATTTACATCCTTGCTACGTGTATGTGCTTTTGTGTGCGTGCGTCGCGAAACTCAATTCTTTCTCAGTATTTTCGTCTATTATCAGCCCAAAAGTTGCCGTTGGTCTGCCTTGTGAAGTGAGCACATGCATACATACATTTGTGTATGTGTATGCTTGTATGGGATGGCAAGCTAATTGTCTCCGGATTTAGTAGTTTGTAAATTTTGTATGATTTGAATCGTAGGGTGACTATCAAATGGGCCATTATGACTTAATTAGAAATTTTTGACAATAATGAGTAAAGCTTGAGTATAATATGAAATGTGTATTTCATATATTGCAAAGCATTTAATAAAGTTAGTAGTGTTTTACGATAATTTTTTCGGTTAAAAATGTGTATAAAATAATTTTAATTATATATAATTATTTACGGATATAAACACATTTATAAACATGATTAGCAATAATAATATATAAATGTACTTATGTACATATGTATGTATGTTCATACATAGTACATCTGTTTAAAGTGGTTATGACAGTCCGTAAGACCGACCAAATGCAAATGCTGGGCCTTAAAATTGCTACAAGCAGCAAGAGTAACGCACGCAGGTCACAAATGCTCATACATGGAGCAAGGGACTACAAGTGTGTGTGTACTTGCCCGTCGCGAAATAATATTGTTTATGCGTATCAACGCTTTCATACCCTTCCCACGTATAACCATCGAAACGCTTACATATTGTTTGCATGAGCGTGACAAATGCTTTTATGATTTCGGTATACCCAACACTCAAGAGGAAAGAGCTGGGATCGTCGCGAACAATATTCAATTTCTGTGCGCTGCTGCTATTTGAGAGACCATATAGAGAGAGAGAGCGAGCATAAAGAGAGGGAGAGAGTGAGTAAGGGAAAAAGAGCGCATAGCCCTGCTTCATTTAGTAATTCGTGCATTTCGTGGCAGCAGTCGCAGCACACTGATTTTGTCTTGCCTTATTTTCACTGCTTGAGCCTCAGAAGACCGAGCCGACCAAATACGAAGTTGTCTGGTCCGCTCAGCGCATTTTTTCGGTGTTGAAAAAGTTTGTTCTACATGTCTAGTCTATGTGTTCTCTGGTCAGTGGTACAAGGTAGTATCTAGTCGAACACTCTCGACTAGAGTTTTCTTACTGGATATTATTGAAAATTGAAAATAAAAATTTAATTGTATTATTTTCCGTGATGCTATGGGGTTTATGTTCAACCCATTAAGAATTTGATCCATCAGCGCTATGAATTGTACAGAATCGATAGGTTCAGGGTATAAAAACGAGAATCGCACTTCAATCTGTCACAAATTTTAATTTTAAACTTCTATAAGAGTTTTGTAAATTTTATTCCCAATTTGCCCAAAATGCCCTTGAACTTATTGAAAATGGGAAAACCGGGAATTATGTTTTTGGGAAAATGTACGTGACAGACCCCATAGGCGACAAGCTGAATCGATTTAGCCCGGTCCGTCTGTTTGTCCGCGAGATTGCCTAGATCTCAGAATATATAAGAGCTAGGACTTATTTATGTACACTAGTATATATCAACCGAAGCAAAAGTTTATCAATATTTAGTCCAATATACAAATTTATAAGAAATATTTAGTTTTATTTTTATCATACTGAGTCGATTTGGCCCTGTCCGTCTATCTGTCTGTCCGTCCGTCTGTATGTTTGAACGCGTTGATTTCAGATAAGAGCTAGAGACATATTTCCGTATATACAGCGCGGATATCGAGTTTATCACCAAAAATCGATAACTCATCCCGCTATTTTTTTATCGATAAGATACCTTATCGAAAAGCAGTTATAAAATTATATATTCTACATATTTAAAGCTAGAGTCCACCCTATATCCCACCCCTATACCCACCCCCTCACCCACATATTTGCAAAAGTCGTATTTCAAATACTAAAGACTTGTGCTTTGGCAAATGCATGCATATCCATGTTATAATCATAATCTGAAAGTTTCATGAAAAAAGTGCATCCATAAGAAGAAGTTATTAAACAATTAAGTTCCCATAGTAAGCCACCACTGCAGCCAATGCGTGTTTATGCGTTCGTACGTATGTCTGTGTGTGTGCGTGTATGTGTCCATATGCGAATAATTATTGAAATATCAGTTGCTCGAAGGGTTCAGGGGATCTCGTAGTCGAGTAGTCTCGACTAGAGCTTTCTTACTTGTTTTCTTTTTTTTTTGTTTTTGTTTTGAAAGCTCGTATATAGAGAGCTCATATCGAGTTTGTCTTTTACAAAAATCAATAATTATTTATTATCGACTAAAACCGTTATTGAAAATCTGTTAAACAAATTCATCTCTTACATCTTGAAAGCTACCATCTCCAAACTTTATATAAACGAGAATTTTATATATAAGATTTATATGTATTTCATAACATTTCGATTTTTGTCAAAATCAAACCTGTATCCCAAACGTTATTATTACGTTCTGAAAATATTTCAAAGATATTCTATCGACAAAAAGAAATTATTAAGCAACAATATTCCAGACCACATTTGGCTTCAAATTGGGGACATAATTGGTTGGTCTGGTAACAATATACGCGTCGAGTTGATAATACTATTGTAATAATTCCCTTTTAGCAGGTTTTCTGGGCAATTTTCTTTCGAAAGGTCTTAAATCAAATCAATTAATTGTTAATACGGATGAAAAAACATTGAAGCCAATTGCACGATTGAAGGAACCTCGGGATTTATTCGCACTGCCTAAGGATAAGGACAATGATTGCTCACAGCAGGCCCCCAGATGGCCGGTAGAATGCCAGGTGAGTTAAAAAAAAAAAAAAATATATATATATATATATAAATTTATATATATTTATACATATCTATAATTTGCATTCATTGTATATATAGATATATAGACAGATTTACTATATCTAACCAGCTCAGTCGACCAGATGCTAATCTGATTTGTACTTAAATAAAACAAGTAAGAAAACTCTAGTCGAAACTGCTCGACAATGAGAGCCCCTGAACCGTTTGGTCAACTGATATTCCATAATTTTTTCCCTTGTTTCTTGCTTACACAAGAATTAACATATGCTCGCACACGCGCTCCAGTGGGGAGATTTATTTTTATAACGGTTTTGTGAAAAGTATGTAACAGTCATCATCGCAGGCCCTATAAAGTATATATATTCTTGATCTGGGCGACGAGCAGCCCTGTTCGTCCGCCCTTATGAACGCCTGGATCTCAGAAATTATGGGCTAGAAAGCTAAAATTTTGCACTTATTTTACTTAGTTTATTATGTTTTTTCGATAACTCATCCGATATTTTTTATCGAGGATAATCGATAAATTGATGTTGTCTTTCCAGCCTAATTTAAACACTTTAAGAACTGGAGACTTTAGATTTACTGATTTTGGATTCGAGCAGTCTAGATTGTGATAACATATAAACGATATTCTTTAAAGCACATATGAATCTACATAGATTTTATATTTACTTTAGAATTGAAATCTCTAGCTAAGATCGACACGTTCACGTTCGCGGAGAAATGTTATGCATTGAAGCTCTGTTTTTGTTTTCTGTTTAAGACTATATAACAAAGCAAAGCATAATAATATGTACGTTATTGTATTATTATTACTAGCTGGCCCGGCAAACGTTGCATTCACCTATCCATTATTTCTAGGTAAAAAATTGTTGAAAGCTATGTTGTTCAGGTAGGGATGCACTCTGATTAATTTATTAATCGGATTTTCATTCAAGCACCTTGTGGTAAACGACATTCTTCGTTTTTTGGTCAGGTGCAAGAACAAATATTACGGATGGTTTGCCAACACGTGAGCATGCCACGTACAATTGACCATGAGAAAAACACACATTTTCTAGATTGAGGCCACAAATAGTCAAAGATTGGTCCTGTGATTTGTTGATCGTCATGGCGAAGACAAGACGAATCGGGAATTGAATTCGTTTAAACTCAAAGGGCATATCTGTTGGGATCATCGGAATCCTAGGAATAAGAACTTCCTCATCTTTAAATTTTCCTTTGAGTATTGACGCGTGAATCACATTGCTCATCAGTTTTCTTATCACCAAACGCGTTCCATTGCACAGTTGTAAATTGTGCGGTGGTAAACCAGGCACATCCAAGGAGTTCAAAAATTCAGTTGGGTAATTAGTGGCTTCTTCTTCGTTTGTTACACAGTCGATAGATTTGAATGAATACAGAGTACCAACAATTTTATTTTGAATTATAAAATTAAGGTCATCCACATCTTTATTTTTAGCCGCCAAAATTGCTCGCTCACTTAACCATTTAGTATTTTTGTGGAAAGCAATGATATTCGGAAATACTTTGTTGATAAGCTCATCTATTGATGAGACGAAATTGCAAAAATTTTGAGGAAATGAAATCAAGCCACTCGATTCGTCAACAGGAATACGGTCATTACCGATGTTCAGCAATTGCTTCGAGAAATCATCAGCAGATAGATCGTTCAACAATGCAACTCTCATATTTACAGACAGTTGAAGTTTGGCTACATATCGCCAAAGATTTGATGCTTTGAGGCAAGCGTTTATTTCGTCGGCAGCAGTAGATCTTGGCATTACTGGTAGTGTTTGTCGGAAATCGCCAGATAATAAAATCATTGAACCACCAAAACATCTCGAGTCATTGCGCAGATCTATTAATGTTCGGTCTAGTGCTTCCAATGCGCGTTTGTGCGCCATTGTGCATTCGTCCCACATGATAATTTTTGATGCTACTAAAACTTTGGCCATTGAAGTATATTTGCGAGATTTTGTGCTGTGCATCTTCAATAGGTTGCAATGATCCAATGCGATGGCAAATCTGGCCTTGAATCTTTAAATTCAAAGCCATAGTTATAGTTAGATTTACAAACACTTTTTACAGAAATCTAACAAACTACATTATTCCAATTTTTTTTTTTTCTAATCATAGAAAATAAAATTTTGAACGTAAATTACCTTAAATGTCGGATTATATCCGTCTCCAATAATTTCCGCCCCAAATGAAGTAATTTGGAAACAGGCATTGTATTTTTGAGTGGTCGCTAGAAAATGTCGTGATTCTAGTGTTTCGCCATAAAGCAGGAAACGCAATGGCTCTGGTGGCGGGACCACTAATGGCAATGTCACTTTACCACTAAGGCAGCACAAACCGGGCGTTTCACCAGCAAAATTCAATGCGCCACAATGCTGGCAAACAACGTCCATTGGCCCAATGCAAACTAAACGATGTCAATGTAGTCAATGGTGCAATCATATCGAAACGCTGCTCGATTCAAATCAATCCTTGAACAATTTCTTATTGCCGTTTCACGGGCTACCTCTCTTTGAGAAACACGAATTAAGGCCCTTCTTTGCTGGGTACTAACGCGGCGCCTTTCTCGGGCGATTTCTCCATCTTCGTCAGATAATTGACTCGCGAAATTCCGATGCCTAATTGCATTATGAGTCCGCCGGGAAAGATTAGATCTTCTAGGACGCGGCATTTTTATCAATAGTAACACTGAATATGCCCTCGCACAAAGCCACATAAAACAATCAAGAAATATAATATAAATAAATATAATAAATATAAATAATAATAATATAAATAATTTGCACAAATTTATGTTTGAGACAAACAAATACCTGAACTTTCGAGATATTTAGCTTCTGTACGCACGCGTATTATTTTTATCAAATGTGCTTTTTATACCCTGAACCCATTGAAAATGGGAAATCAGGGTATAATGGTTTTGTGAAAAAGTATGTAATGGGCAGAAGGAGGCGTGGCAGACCCCATAAAGTATATATATTCTTGATCAGCGCGACGAGCTGAGTCGATATAGCCCTGTCCGTCTGTCCGTCCGTCCGTATGAGTGCGTCGATCTCAGAAATTATAAGAGCTAGAGAGCTGAAATTTGGCATGCATATTTTTTCGATAACTCATCCGATAACTTTTTATAGAGAATAATCGAAAAATCGATTTTGTTTTTTATGCCTAATTTCAACACTTTTAGACCTGGAGTCTTCAAATTTGCGTTGTATATAAAGTTAATCGATGCAAATATTTTGTGATTTACAGATTTTGGATACCACGCCCCCTTCTCCACCGATTTGTAAAAAACGCATTTCAAGTACTAGAGACTTGTGCTTTGGAAGGTACACATATATTTACCATATGATTACCCTCTAAAAGTTGCATTAAGATCGTATGTCTACAAAAGAAATTATTCAACAAAAAAAGTCTCATAATATTGCCCACGCTGCAGCGCAGCCCAAGCGCAGTCGCTGCTTACTGCGCAGTTAGCAGAGCGCAGGCTTGTGCGTGCGTGTGGATGCATGTGTATGTATGTGTGCATAAAAGAAGTGCAGAATGATTAGAATATCAGCTTAGAGGGTTCAGGGTATCTCCTAGTCGAGCAGTCTCGACTAGAGCCTTCTTACTTGTTAATGTTTTCTAAGTTCGTATTCTTAATTTCAGGAACCACTTTTCGCGTCCCTTTCAGTTTTTCGTGTTTTTCTACCATACGTTTTGTATGCCGTCATGCTATTCATTTCTTATACCCTGAAACCGTTGAAAATGGGAAATCAGGGTATAATGGCTTTGTTAAAAGTATGTAACAGCACTAACCAGAGAGCACATAGAGTAGACCTGTAAAACAAACTTTTCTACAGCAGAAAATGTTAAGTTGGTGGACCACTATACTTCGTATTTGCTCGGCTCGGTCGCTGGAGGTTCGAGCAGTGAAAATATTGCACGACAAAGTCAGTGCGCTGCAAGCGCTTAAACGAAATGGTTCCATTCTCTCTCTCTCTCTCCCTCTCTCTCTCTCTCTCTATCGTCTCTCAAATCACCGAACTCAGCAGCGCACAAAAATTTAAATTTGTTCGCGACGATCCCAGCTCTTTCCTTTTGAGTGAAGGGTATACCTAAATCATAAGAGCGTTTGTTAGGCTCATGCAAACAAATTGTAAGCGTTTCGATGGTTATTCGTGGGAAGGGTATGAAAGCGTTGGTGCTCATAATGAAAATGTTTTCGCGACAAGCGTGCACACTCACACTCTCCCTTGCTACATGTTCAGGACTTGAACAGATTACATTTGAGCTCAGATCCTCTAATCAGTAGTCAATTCATGTACTTCAATAATATGTACAAATTTCTGTTCACTTATCAACAATTTTTAATTTATTTAATTTATTTACTCCCCACTGGAAAGGCCTTTGTAATATTATTGTTTATCACTTATTATAATTTTAAAAATCTTAAATAAAAATTTCGCTTTGATAGAAAGCCGCTGATTTTATACAAGACCGTCGACTGCGCACCGGCGCTAAATATGCCTACATTATTGGTTTCAAAAAAACGTATTTTCGTGTTATCGCTGCCCTCATATATAGAGACTAAGCCTAGAGTATTTATAGCTTCATACATTTACCGAATACTGATAGGAAAAAACACAAAGCTAGGATTATAAATTACTTAACTTATTTCTCAGGTCATTGGAGAGCGAATTATACACATTCCTTATGTGCCAGTGCAACCCGAACCACTTAACGTGCCAAC